CTAAATATTCCCTTCATGGCTTTCGTACTGGTAAGGTACACCAATTTTTTGTAAGTAAACATGTTAAAGAATTAATTCTTCAATGACAAAATCTTAGAAAAAATTATATATTATTTAGGAACGTCTCGTCTGTCCTTTAGGAAAGCCGTATAGGCTCATTTCTGAGAAGATAAAAAAAAATAACTGGTTATAACGAGTTAATTATCTCGTGATAACGAGTTAGTATCTCGTTATAACGAGTTAGTTATCTCGTTATAACGAATTAGCTATCTCGTTATAACGAGTTAGTATCTCGTTATAACGAATTAGCTATCTCGTTATAACGAGTTAGTATCTCGTTATAACGAATTAGTTATCTCGTTATAACCAGTTAGTTATCTCGTTATAACGAGTTAATATTTCGTAATAACGAATTAGTTATCTCGTTATAACGAATTAATTTTCTCGTTATAACGAGTTAATTTTTCTCGTTATAACGAGTTAAACAATGGTCTGAAGTTGATATATCTAATTGATAGGAAGTATAGCATATAAAACCGAGTCGATCAAGTTTGTTTAAAGTGTGTATGATGAAGATATATTAAAAAAAAACAGCAAACTAGTTTTTTTTGGGGGGGGGGGGTTCGAGGGGTTGTGCCTTTGATTGTTTTTCGTTTGTGTATAAACGATGCAATTGATTTGTATTGTTTACTTAAAAGACCGAAGACAAATACATGTATACGGAAACTTATGACTGCCTCGTGATGTTGTGTTGGCCCCCCCCCCCCCCCATGACCTAACTGCTGATGTCTCCATATCCCCTTCTTCAAAACATTTCTGACACTCAAATAATATATAACACACTGTAAGTGTATATAATATATGTTGCATTAATGCCTGCGTTATAGCTTGCTATTATAATGTATTAATTTAGGTTCTTAGACATGGATAATGAAAGCTAATAAGTCATCCAAAGCATATAAAAAATAGTGTCTTTATATTCCTAGAAAGTTGTCATAACATTAATTGTCAAACTTTGAAGCAAGTACATTTGGCAATATATATATATTTTTAATATTGTGTCCTTGGAAACGTTCACGTATAAATGTGTAAATGTGTTCAAATAAAGATTGCTATACTTATCAACCTGTGATTATTGACAGCCAGATAGTTCAGGATTAATATTATTTAAACTATATCGCAAATTAAAGAATTCTTTGCAACTTCATATCAATTTTAAAGTTAAGTATGACTGTAATTATCAAATAAACTTCAATGGCATTAAAACTACAGCCATTTTTAATTCCTATATTGCTATTAAATTTGGATATGAAGGGGAAACTTATTATTTCGTTATAACGAGATTAATTATCTCGTTATAACGAGATAATTAAATCGTTATAACGAGAAAACTAACTCGTTATAACGAGATAACTAACTCGTTATAATGAGTTAACTATAATTCGTTATAACGAGTTAACTAATTCGTTATAAGGAGATAATTAACTCGTTATAACGAGATAACTAATTCGTTATATTCCTATAACTCGTTATAACGAGATAATTAACTCGTTATAACGAGATAATTAACTCATTATAACGAGATAATTAACTCGTTATAACGAGATACTAACTGGCTATAACGAAATAAATATTTTTTTATCTTTTAAGAAATGAGCCTATCCGGCTTTCGTATTCCTTAAACTTCAATATGCCAATAAAGGAATTTACGCGGTTAATATTTAGTCCAATCTTACATTACACCATATTTCAAGTTGAAGAATACACCTTGTATTTGCTACAAATATACATCGACCATTGCTTCCAAACTTTTCAATTATAAAAAAAAATTAGATGACTTGGATTCGAGTATCTGAGATATAATCCTCCATCGTCTTCATGTTCTTCTTCGCCCTTTAACTATAGTCCTGCTGGACACGTATTACAAGTGACGTAAATATAGTTAATAATGAGGACCTAAGATCACTTATTTAAATAGTTCCTAAATTTAGGGAACACCAATCCTTCAACTGGAGTCGGAATTTCATAAATACCGGTGTTACATATTCTATTGAAGATTACGCCAGACGATGAACCAGATATGAAAAAGATGACGTTGACACTTTGTCAGAATGGATTAAATGTATCAGATTATATGATCAGTTCTTACTGGTCCCTGCTGACAAAGCAGATAACGACATTGTCTTTGTTTGTAAGGCTCATTATATAAATTGTATTTTAGAGGAACTTGGATTTAGTTCCGTTTCTAAGGATGAAATTCTTCAAAATCATTTGTCAGTTTTTAATATTTTTCATATCCCGAAGAACCAAAAGTAATTTGAACTACCATATATACATGTTGGATTCCGAAACTTCATAAGAATGCTTACAAAGATACATTGCAGGTTCCAGTAGATGTTCAACCTAGCCTCTTTCTATACTCCTCACTAAGAAATTGTCAGTAGTGAAAGAAAAACTTTAAGAGTACTGTGCAACATTATATTCAAGAAGTAGAGTGAATTATATGTGGATACATAATCATTCTAAAGAACTTTTGAAGAATTTAAAATTACAAGATTTTATACCAAAATCATCAGCTTTGAAACTTCAGGACTTTTGAACTTTATATACAACCATTTCCCACGATAAATTAAGTCCAGGCTTTTTGATATCATTGACAACTGCTTTCTCAATAAAAATGGAACTCATAAATTAACTTACAAGGTAATTGGTCATATGATTTTTTTTGTTAAAACACATTCTGATTGCACACGTAAGTACTTTAAAGTTGACATCAAAAAGATGCATGACTTTCTGATTGACAATATCTATGTGATTTTGTAGACCAGTTCTTCCAACAATCTATTGGAATTCCCATGGGTACCAATTGCGCTCCGTTATTAGCAGACATATTTTTTGTATTCATATGCAGCAGAATTTGTACAAAAATCTATGCTTGAAAAGAAGAAAACACGTGGCCTTCAATTCGACATTTAGATATATCGACGACGTATTAGTAAATGAATTACTGGTAACAATGGTAATTCCATTATTTTGTCGATACGATATATCCTGGTAAGCTTGAGATAAAAGATACCACAGAGTCTGACACATCTGATTAATATTTGGATATATATAACTTGAAAAAGACGTTTATGGTAATCTAACAAACAAGTTATATGATAATGTGATGACTTGAACTTCTCTATCGTTACCTTCCCTTACTTATGTAGCAATATTCCGATGTAATTCCGGTGTAATTTTTGTCCTAAAAAAAAAGGGACAACCAAAATTTAAAAAATAAGAGATTTTTTAACATCCATATATTGGATCCATTATATATAAGAATAGTGCATGACTTTTGCATACAATTCATATAATAAAGGAAGCTTAATACATGTATATTCTTACATGTATCAGTCTCTTACAATCTTCCTGCCTTCCATATACATAATAAAATCACAAAATCTCGAGGATGATATTATTTTACGTTCAAAGTCGTATATCATAGTATTCTAAGCTTAGCTTCTACTTTTGTTTATTATTGTTTGAAAGGAAAACCGGACGTAAAATAATTGAAAAAAGAAACCTTAACCAATAACGAATAGGTATTTGTTAAATGTGAACAATTTAGTCAGTAAAAAGGTTTCAACATTTCCAGTCTTATTACATTAAGAAATTAAAACACTTAGCATGAACCACTTGATGTTTTTTTTAAAAATACAACAATAAATTAACATATATGAAAAAAATAAATAAGACAACAAAATTGAATCAATAAATTAAAGCATGTGAAATGTCTTTATATTGAAACAAATGTAAAGACAAAGTTTGTCAAACGGTTTTGTTATTAGTTATTATCGACTATAGTCAGCAAAACATCCAACTATGAAACAAATGTGACAGCCTCTTTAAAGCGTCTTTTATTTCAAGTTCCCTGGGTTCACTGGGATGTATTGAAGATTATTGTTTAGTTATGTTGAGCATCTCCTGCCGACCTGTCACACCTTCATGACTGGGAATTAACGGAAATATCTATCTTCAATTAAGTATACTAGTATATTGAAAGACGTCAGTCAGAATTTGGCTCAATGATAAATTGCATTTGCTGTGAAGGTCATTGTATCGACCATAGAACTTATGAAATGATGTTTTTAATTGAGAGAGCTGATATTCTTGTTTCATCAACTTGTTTTCAATAATTTACTTCGCTTTTAGAATTGTTCATACATAAAGCACATTCCTTTAATGTTGTTGATGTGCCTGGCATCCCAAACAAATAAGGCGGTGATTCCCTATATTTACATTTATTAATGTAATAGAATTATTTATATTTATACAAAAAAAAAATACAAAAAATGTTGTCTTATAGACCTAATATTTATACACGAGGCTTTTTTTTTTTTCAAAAGTCTCTTTTCACTGACGTCAGGCACATGGACATTTACACGAGGCTCTTGACATTTAACCTGACGAAATTTACACTGTAATAGTAAAAACAATTATCTAACATTCAAAGAGTTATCACAGAGAAAACATTAAGAAGTGTAAACATAAGAGGATATTTCAGATGTGTAATATAAAGAAATCATATTCTTTGCCAAGTGTATGCAATTTCATACAAATTTTACACACATTTTCAAAATTGAGTACAATTTTATTTTCATTTGCCTTGCAATTTTTAAAGCATATCCATTAGCCTAAAGGTTATCTGATTTCTAAAAGGTTTTTTGTGGTAAAACATCGGTGCCCCTAGGAAAGGAAATGTGACTGCTCCAAATGAATTTTAAACAATACACCAGTGTGGCCTACACTAAGGAACAACTTTTGAAAAAATTAAAAAAGGTTCTAGATTTAATTCTTCGGTGAATAATTTGATCTTTAAGGGTTTTTTTGGTCAACTAAGTTAACTTGGATCTGTTCGTCTCAGTGTAGAGTACGCATTATTCTTTTTTTATTACTGCTCATGTGTCACTAAATGATGACTTTGTACATGTGTCCGTATTTAGTGAAGTGTATTTCTATTTTCTCCCCGTTTCCTGCAATCTGCATTTAGAAATGCTAACAAGTTTTTCTGTTATCTCATTCAAATATTCACTATTGTCAGCAGAAAAGTTTGTATTTGAACGATTAACAGTAAATCCTTTGAATAATTTTCTTCCAGGGATAGTCTTTAATTTTTCATTTTTCTTTCCGAACGGTTCATATCTCAAAGTACATATTGGGGTAGAAAACTCATACCTTTGAATATTAATTCTTCTGTTTCTATCAAACAGAGGAAACATTTGAGTAAATTGCACCATGCCTTTGCAACTTGGAGAAGTGATGTTATATTCATGCCCTTGTTTGGTATAAAAACTAACTTTACTTTGAAATCCTCTCTCAATTTGACCGTTATTTGAATTTTCCACCAGGGTCTTATCATCGACAATTGTGTTCTTGTAAAATCTATTCTCTGGAGTATCTTTTCTAGACTTAAGCTCTGCTTGTTTTGCGTTCTCACTTTTCTTAGACATGTTTTCTGGTGCTGATCTGATCTTGTCTTTCTTTAGTTTTTTATTTAACATAGCATTTGATGTAGCATCTATTTGACTTGAGATCTGTTTCCCACTAAGTGAAGTGTGTTTATTTCCCTCTCCCTTTTTTGGCAAAGAAGCATCTGAGGAACAGATGGACTTATTTTCTTTACAACTCACACTCCTTCCAATTTTTGAGTTAGGGCATGTATTCGTAGCACATTTGATTGCAGACTGTCTCTTCAAAACATCCTGTTTATCTTCATTTTCGATTTCTTGACATATGCAATCTGATGTATACATGTAGGGCATAGACTCTTTCATATTAACTTTTGTATCAGAATTTAATCTTTTCAGAGCTCGCTTGCTGACATTATTTTGCAATTTTATGTCAGTGGCAGAAAAGGGTCTTTCATTTAATGTAAAGTAGGTCCCGTGCGATTTTGATTTTTTGGACAGTAAACAGTTGTAAAGGTTTGATGATTCACCTATAGATTCATTAAAGATGGACTTTATTCTTCCTTCCATTTCACGGTCAAGTAGAGTAGAGATGAACGTAGGGTCGTCAGACAAAGGGTGCCACAGAATATACATCGCTACACGCCACGGTTCCTGTTCTACACCATCACCGTCATCTCCAAGCAACATTCTCTGTGCAAGATCTTCATAATAGTCCTTAGGTATCTGCAACACAACCTCACAAGGTTTTAAATCATAGTCCTCTGAACGAATCAATTCAAATAAATTCTTTCTTCTACATTTTTGGATTACAAGTTTTGGATCCAATTGTCCAAATGACACCATTACAGCTTCTAGAACAGTTTCGTGGGAAAACGTATAAACTTGTTGTACTGTAGTTTCTGATATGTAAAAAATATTTAGGCTTTCAATAGAATCTCTAATATGCACCTTTGCAACATCAAAAATCCTCAGATTTTTGCAAATACTTCTAAATAAGTCATCAGGTATATTTTTGATACATATTTCCCCAATAATGCATATGTATGACAGAACGCAATATGCTACATTTTCTATGTAAGCAGGGGACTTTCGCATGTTTTCAATCGTTACATATAACTTTTTATTTGAATGTTTGAAGAACAAGGGACCAAGCTCAAACAATTCACGCTTCTCAAAAAATTGAAAACATGTTAATGGATATCCATAAAAAGGTTCAGTATTTGCAATCTGACGTCGTTCATAATCAGATAAACTGAAGACAGCATCTTCGACTTTTAGTTCAGCGTATTGCTTGAACGTTACTCCCTGTAGCTCAGATGCTTTGAATTTGCTTTTCCCTTCATAAGCTTGAAGCATCGACAATTTCTCTTCAAAGGTAATTTTGTATTCTAAAGACAGATCAATAACATTATCTTTTTCGAAAAGCTGGTGAATGTAATGCACATTTAATTCGTCTAGTACATTTTTCCTCATTCCAATCAACAAAAGAATTTGTCCATTTGCACTCCTCACGCTCGAATATATGACATCAAATGATTTTCTCCATATTTCAACAGCGCCAATATCTAAATTTGTTGAACCTAAAAAGTCATCAAGAAAAATAATATAACGACCGTCAGCATGGTCTTGATTGATCACCGTTTTCCATTCCTCTGGAGATTCTATAAAAACGGGTATGTAGGCTGATTCAGAGGCCCTAGGTGACTTTATACACATGACTTGCCGCGCTGTTGTAGTTTTCCCCTCTCCTCCTTTTCCTATTAAAATTACGATATGACTTCTTTTTAGCTTTTCTAATGTAGCTGTCAGGGCTGAAGTTTTCGTGTACTCTCGCATGTCTTTGTGCTTCAGAAGAACTTGGTCCGTCTTCACTAATATTAAAAACAAGGTTTCTAGTCATTTATTTGATCAATTATACAAGGTATACCAAAATATGTTACAGAATTATATCACAACTTTGTTTTTGTGAAAAATCCTGTGATAGAGATGTTTTCATAAAATACCCTTAACATTTTTATACACAAACTGTCTGATAATTTTTATATCTAACGGTATGTTTAGAATGAGTTTGTCAGATAAAAACGCAATTTTTGTTTGATTATGTTTGATTTGTAAAAGTTGAAACACGTTCTAAAGAAGAGTAATGAAACCTCTCCATCGAATAATGATCCGGGGGTCATTTTTCAATGACAAAAAATGACACTATCATCCCCCCTCCTAAACACATTTTGTAGAAAAAAATTCACAGGGTCAATATTTAAAAAAAGGCCCCCGTATCATCATAGAATTATGAAATCAAAGGCAAGTGCCATAAGTATAGAAACAATGTCTAATTTAGAATAACGTATTAGCGGTTTTTTTTTTAGCGAAGATTTAACTTTGGCATTATTAGCGAGGGTGCTGAGATCGTTAAAATTGAATATCGCTAAAAATTAATTGCTTTTTATTTGTTATAACTGTTTAAGCGAAGGTTTAAAATTCACTTAAATTGAATTTCGCTAAAATAAAATACCATGTTATGGACAAATCGCAATAATTGCGTCTCGCTAAAAATTTCCACTTATACGGTATCAGAATTCTGACAAAAAAGACGATATCGTGAATCTGTGTCATGTTATGTGATAATGCCGATCTTCTATCAAAATAGAATAGAAAATAAAAAAAAAATTGCAACTGTATTGATTAATGTTTTCAAAACAATATTTACCAAAGACTTTATTATCTTAAAACAAAGGAAACAAGAGAACATATATATATGAGCATTTTTGGCGTAAGAAGAAGTCGAAAATGTGAAAATATATCAAATATGCATATTGAGACTTTTTTCATTCACATATAGCAAAGAGTGCTTACTTTATTTTCGTAGGTAAAATTTCAAAGACAATGAACAATTTATAAGAAATCACTGCTGTTTACTAACATGGAGAAAGCTCATGAAAATAATGAATTCAATGACTTATTCTTGATCTTATATAATGTTACAATATAATCACCGAAATAAGTGTCAGATAAAGAGCAAAACACAGAGCAAAACAGAACTTTGCCATTATAATTACATGGCAGGAGGAGGGGGTATCATCTAGCGAGCTCATAGCTCACAGTACCTCTAGTTTTGAGTGTGTATGGTTCGTTTAGATACTTTACGTTGTTCAGTATGAAGGAAACGTTACAAAAAAATGAAATCATGTTTTGAATTTAAACTAGAGGTACTGTGAGCATTGAGCTCATCAAAGCTAGGGGTATAATATTATAATATTGCTGCATTTTTCTGTTAGTGTAATGATTTTCCAGCATAAAAAATAATGTTTACTCCAACAGATTCGCAATCATAGCATTGACCATAAAATGCCAATTATCGTATGATTTTTTATAAAATCAACAAATCATCAGTTAATAGCTCAGGTGAGCATTTAGACCATAGGTCTCTTTATTTATTCATTTTTTGCCCCCTAAATATTTCAACATTAAACCACAAGGAGTCATTATTCTACTAGGGTATTTTTTCTTCAAATATGCAAATATTTAGATTGTTGACACTTTTTCTACAAGCAAAAGAATCATTATTCGACGTCGAATAAAACCCCGCGGTCATTAGTCTATGGGGGTCATTACTTGTATCTACACCGGCATATAGTATCATTCTTTTAAATGAAATTGGAGTATAGGAATCAGTAACGAATCTCAAAATTCCACAGGTTTAGATGAGACCAAACTTGAATCTCTTAAAACGTGGGTTCCAGTGCCCCGGAAGAGTGAACATCCCCTGTTAACCAGAGACACCGATCGTGTACTTCTTGTCATAAACTGGCAGATGAAAAAAAAAATCTGTGGACAATTTATTGTAAAAAACTTGGCTCAAAAGTTAGTATGAAGAATGTAAATCAACATTAAAGTAAGCAATATTTTTTTTTCTTGAGAGGTCATTGTATTTGTGAAAACCTGACTTTTAATGAGATCCTTGGTATCTTTGTTTCATAGGGTAAACGTATTTACCCAAACCTTCTCTTGTTTTAGCTTCTGAACTGAAGTGTTTTGGTGTTATATATTAGTCCTTCACAACGTTACAGATCCCTTAATGCAAAAAAGGTGCAATTTACGGCGCAAGTTTTTTGCTCACTTTTGGGGAAATTTCTGCACACTCCAGCATTGGGCAATCAACTACCTTCACTCCCATATTATAGACATAATCGTTAACCTTAACCTTACTTGCGTGAATAGAATTATTTGTTGGATTGCTGAGAATTCACTGTAGAGATCTGAAGGGTTGAGAGATTGATAAAATGTAAAGACTGTTTGATGTACAAAACTCAACAAAACGTATGCAAATTTTAAATTTAGTTAGAACAATAAAATTTTCTTCATGAAAAATATAAAATAACAAATTGTTATTCCTTTTTAAAATTATCCCCTCGCAACAAACTGTAGTTTTAAACAGTTTGTGCGCTTTTCCCTTCCTCAGTAACTGTTGCACTTAAAAGAAATTGTTCCTCTTTTAAGGGAATTTGCATCAAAATTTCAAAATATTGCACGAAATATGAGTATTAAATAAAATCTTTAAGTTCTCATAGCCCTCACCGATAAGTTTCCTTCTTTCTCCATCAAAGTGTTTGCCTGCAAATATATATTAATGAACAATTAGACAATGCTTTCTTTGAATTTTAAAATATGAATTAATGATGCAGTTGTAAGCATATAATTTTTAAACTTATTCTGAAATACATGTATCTGCAGCACGAGCTCCTCAAATAACGAACAATGAAAGGCAACTTTATTTTTTGTATTGATGTATGTTTAAATGATCATATAAATAAAGGATGATTAAGTTTTTTTTAAATATTGCAATACTGGTATGTACATCTTTGTATGTTTCATTGAAGGAGGAGCAACTTATCAAGAAACATATACTGTAAATCACATTTTATTCGCGAGAACTTTATTTTCGCGTAATTACGCGAGACAGAGTGCTCGCGAAAATTTAATTCTCGCGTATAATAGCATTCCTTTAGATTATATAGAGCAATTACCACAATTCGCGAAAATTTTGTCTCGCTAATCAAGAGTCAATTACTATCTCGCGAAAATAGGGTGTCGCGAAAATTAAGTGATCTACAGTACTGATTGATTGCTGAACGGCATAATCGTATTAATAAATCTTTGTGTTTTCATAAGATAAGACAGAGATAATATTCAATATACTGTATGTAATGAAATATAAGGGGATAACGAACAGTATTCAAGTCCATTAAATAATATAAAATTGGAACAGAGCATACGGGGATCTCTAAAATATCAACGATGGGATCAGGCTTCAAGACTATAAACTGAGGACAGACTTACATGTAGGACAAAATTTTTATTTTAAATATCCAAAGCTCCATTTAACCTATGTGCATAAAAACTTACAGATTTTATAAAACACAAATTTAAATACATGTTGAAAATTTTGTTTTGTTTATCAAAATCATTTTAAAAATTGTATTTTTTTGAAAGTTTTTCCCAGTAAAATATCGAATTATGCAGCAGATATATCAGATCTTTTATTTCAATTTGAAGATATCGTTTCGACATAAGAATGTAAATAACTATATAAATAATAAAATATCTATGTTCAAGATTCTATAACAATGGAAATGAGAAGAAAATCAAAAGAGGTTTGGAGTTTTGTTAAAACATTGAAACCATTATCAATAAATTTTATTTTTGCATTTTACCATGTAAATTATTTTAGAGACAAATAAAGTGCTAAAACAATTTCATTCGAATGTACTTGTATCTGCTTGTGAATAATAATAAAAAAAAATAAAATATCAATTTTCCTGCTTTAAGTCATGATAACAATCTTCATATAAGATGTTCATTTGCATATTTTAAATGTTTAATTGTGCAATTTTTTCATTAAAAAATTAAAATTTCTATGTAATTACCTTCTAAGTCTTTGATAGTCTTTATCTTTTCTTAAAAAAGCTAAAATCAGACAAAATATAAAAGTGCTTCAGTTTTGTAATAAATAGTTTTAATAGAAATGCGTAGAATTTTCGACAAACATTTACACAAAAGTTGTGGTTTAAGCTAAAATATGGTAAGCATATATTTCGTTGTTTTTATTTTAGCGCCCTTTAGAGAAACGTCCACGAATTCAAGTTCATTTCTAAATGTTTTGCACATAATTATATACATAAATGAGAACAATAAGAAATGCGCGCAGTCAATTCTGCGCTAGCTTGTTCAAAAATCAATATCCGCCAAATATTGCATAAGCTAAATATAATACATTTACATTTGTACTGAAATTTGAAGGTTCGTTGTAAGAATTTTTGACACAAGACAGAATTGAAAATTGTATCTTATTAACAATGTTTGCTTACAAACATCTTGCCTACCTTCAATTGTGTTTTTCTGGCTGTCAATGACGTCTAAATACTGCCTTTCTTGTACTGGATCCATTGTTGCAGTTTTCAGGTTTTTCGCAGCATTTGTGTATGATACACATCCGCCAGGCAAGATCACTTCAAGGTCACTTATTATGTTTGTGATTTCATCCCAGATATGATTGAATTCATTATCAGATAGTGAGAGAGAAGCTGCATGTCCAACATAATTGTTTCTAATCTCCCTTATTCTATCTATATTCGCGGAAAGGGACCTATCAGCATTGTCTGGATGCTTGCCCCAACCTTTATTATGGGGTAATATTCCAGATATATTTCTCAGAAGGATGTATAATAAAGACAAATCTAATTGTTCATACATTCCTGTGAAGTATCCCCATGTTGGAAAGAGAAGTTCTCTTTGTTTTTTGCTAAGTACAGGTACGAGAACGTTTTTCTTATTTTTAAGGGCAAATGGAAGTTGAATTTCTGTAACATTTATTTTTAAAATCTCCCTAAAGAGATCTGTGCAAGGACCGTTGAGTAGCCTTGACACTCGGAGAGCGTTTGTTGTTTCTTTCGTTGAAGCGTATTTGGAACAGGCCATCTTCAAACTAAAGATAAAACAGCTTTAAGCAAAATGTACAAAATTCAATAAATAATCAAAATTTATTTTATCAACATATACCATGTTTACACTCCTGTGCTTTTTTAAAGATTCTACAATCTGTTTTCATTAAAATAAATGGATTGAAAACCGAATTTAGATACATATGAAAACAATAGCAAAAACAAATTTCGTGACAAGAGCTAAAGTGGAAGGTCAAAAGGGCTCGAATAAGATGGAAATATAAGGAAACTCATAGAACTTTTAATGACTCAAACTAAACTTCTGCTTTAAACAACACATGTATAACAAAATTACAGTTCTGGTGGACAATAATTTCCATCACATAAATTGCTAAATATGGACAAAAAGTAAAGAGTTCAAAGTCACAGTGGTATATATAATGGGCTTTTTATCCCCCTTTTTCACTCATATTCGGGGATATTATTTTGATTAGTTTATCCGTCTATCCATCTGTCAGTATTTTTCTGTCTTCTGTCTGTCTGTCTGTTAAAAGCCTTTAATTCTTTGCAATGAAAGTTCACATAGCAACTTCCTGTGGCCTAAGAAAGACACCCTTTAATGTTAATTTTATCATTTTATTTAATACTCATTTCCCGCACAACATCTCGAGAAGCCTTTGTGTCTTAGGAATGGAAACCCCTGAACCAAAAGAATAAAGATCCCTATTGATTTCGAGATCATAACGTTAAAGGTCAAGGTCAAAAGTTTATACATTCTTTTTATGTGGAAAACTCAATTCCAAGCGATATCAATAGAAGCTTGTTTTTGAATGAAATTTTATATCATAGTTCTATATTTGCTCTGCCTGGGGAATCGATCAAGAAATAATCACACTTTACTGCATGTGTGCTTTTGAGTCGATTTTGCCTAGTCCTTTATTTCTAAAATACTGCATCATAAGTTTTAACATTGAATTTAGATTCTACTATATCAATTGCAAAACAGCAATTTAATTCCATTCAAGTACGATCAATCAAGGACCTTTATTTTGTGGTGACTTTTTTAAAAATAAAATTATTATTTTTTCCCTTTTGAAATATATATACAGTACTGTTAATTTTAGATTCCTATTTTTCCATGCTGATTGCTTACAAAGCTATATTTTGCAGTGAAATTTTCAATGCTTGTTCTGAAATAAATATTAAATTATTTATTTTTAATTTTTTTGACGAATTATTATAATATTATAAATATATTCTGAAAGTCCAGAAAGAACTTAAGCCACTTATAAAATAAAAGTGACACATTTTTAGTAATATCTAAAAATTTACATAATATACCCCCACTATTGTTATTCTTTTCTAAATATTTAAGATACTTTTGATCTATCTGCTTAAATTCTGCAAAACTTTAAGACTTTGATATAATTTTCTTGCTTATTAAATGTTCAATGCCTGAAAAATCACATTTTGTGAGTGCAGAAAGGTCAAATAATTGATCAATTTGAAATTCTTCCTTAGTCACAATTTTAAAGTTTCTTTTTTTAAAATACTTAAAGTTTATTTTATTCCATATGATTCTAGATGTGGGTAACATAAGTTCAGACACAACCTTACCAGAAGGATTATATCCAGCTTTGTAACTAAGAAACCAGTATCTCTTTTTATATGTATAACTAGTATGACGTAACATGAATTCTGATTGGCTAATATATATATATATTAATATATAGTTCCTTATATGGAACCATGAAATCAACATCACATGTCTTGATTTGATCTAAAACAAGAATTGCTCTAAGTTTTGAAAATATGGTGACTTATTTGGAGCAGAGGAGTGGTTTCAATGCAATATGAGATACATTGAATTTAAAGCTATTACAAATTTGTCGAAGCATGCAGAGTAACACTATGAATGTTATTTAAATATCACCTTATCTGTTTAAGTGGTCAGAAGATTTTTAAAAACACGATGTTGACAAAAGCCAGAATTTGCTGATCAATTTACCAGTCAAGAAAAAGACAATTTCATATATGGATCTAATTTAGCTTCAAATTCATTTATTGCCGATTGATAAATAACATTTGAATTAAACACTTTTTTTGATAAAGGGTCAAAAGCAAGACAGTTTTTATTATGTCCAAAAGAAATTGTTCCTATTTTTTCCCCAGAAAAACGAACACATTCATTTATAAAAAGTTTTAATAATCTAGAAAAGTTCAGTATATGGTATATTAATGAAAGAAATATCTCCTGTGTGGTTTATATCAAAGAAAAAGAAGAGAAGAGATCTGAAGAATCAAAATGTATCAAAATGAAAAAAAAGTTGTTGGGAAATATTAATGAATTTCATATCTGCCAAATCATAAAGTATTAATGGAGCACCTTAGTCATATGAATTAGATGTTACAATTCGCAACCTATAAAAAACCTTTTTTAAGAAGTATTGCACCAGTTATTGGGCACAGCTCCAAATGATTTGAAAAAAAATGAGAACAGATGTATCAGCAAATAGATCGATGCCAGTGCGTTATTTAACCCCCTACTACGTTTTTTTAAATTAAATAGGTCGAGGTCATTAGATTTACTGATATCAACTATATTTTGCATGTCTTGTGTAAAAATCAGCCAAAGTCTGGAATATGAAGTCTGTGAATGCATAGATTTGTTTTATGATATGAATCATGTCTGCATTAGGAATCAAATACAATGTACATGCATAGTGTTAAGAACACTACAGAAATTGTCTTTACACTCATTGGACATATCACATAAAACTTTAAAATATAAATTAGAGGAACATTATAGAAACAAGATCAGTGAACAATTAAAGAACATTTCTAAATCAAATTCTGGGAAATTAACTTTTTATAGTAATATAATATAATTTTGAAAGGGGGGGCGACCAGTTTGAGGTCAGGGTAGGGGCCCACAACCACACCCAAAACACATTGATTTATCAAATATTGTGTATTTTTTACACAAAGAGGGGGGGGGGCTGGGCCCCCCTCTAAATCCACAAACTTTGGCTGAAAATTAATCTTATTAATTTAATAGAGTCACATCTTAGCACCCAAGAAACCCTCACATTGGAGCCATGAATTTCACAATTTTGGAAGAGGCAGCCTTATTCAACATGACTATGTACTGTAAATCACTTTTTATTCACGAGAACTTTATTTTCGCGTAATTACGCGAGACAGTGAGCACGCGAAAATTTCATTCTCGCGTATAATAGTATTCCTTAAGATCATATAGAGAAATATTGACAATTCGTGAAAAATATTTCTCGCTTATAAATAGTCAATTACTATCTTGCGAAAATAAGGTGTTGTGAAAATTAAGTGATCGACAGTATTTGGTTTGTTTATTAAATTCCCAGGAGCAAAGAAGACGATTTTCAAACAAATAATGCATTTCACTAAATAATCTATACAGCTCCGTTCTAGCACCTAAGAATTCCTGACCCTGGGGCCATGAATTTCACAATTTTGGAAGAGGCAGCCTTATTCAACATAACTATGTATTTGGTTTATTTATCAAATACCCAGGTGCAAAGAAGAAGATTTTCAAAAAATTAATGCATCACCAAATGATCTATATAGCTCTGTCCTAGCACCTAAGAACCCCTACCCTGGGGCCATGAATTTCACAATTTTGGAAGAGGCAGCCTTATTCAACATAACTATGAATTTGGTTTGTTTATTAAATACCCAGGAGCAAAGAAGATTTTCCAAAAAATAATGCATTTTCACTATATAATCTAAATGCCCTCACTCTAGCACCTAAGAACCCCAGAGTCATGAATTTCACAATTTTGGAAGAGGAAGCCTTATTCAACAATCAACATAACTACTGTATACAGGGTTATTTTCGCCCCGTGTTATTTTCGCCCTTTTGCAATTGCAAACAGTTTTGCCCCGTTTTAAATTCGCCCACTCATAGTTCTGTTTAAGAAATTATGCTGTGTGATTTGAATTCGCCCCGTTTTAAATTCGCACAATCAAGAATGTGGGCGTAGTTGGCGAAAATTTCCCTGTATACAGTATGTACTTATTAAGTTCATTTAATGTCAAGGAACAAAAAACAAGATTATAAAAAAATGATGCATTTTCACTATATAATCTATCTAGCCCTGCCCTAGCACCAGAACTCCTGATCCCAGGGTCATGAATTTCACAATTTTGATAGAGGACTGAATCCTGATTACAATCATGCAAACAGTTTGACTGCTTGATGTCCAGGAGTAAAGATGAATATTTTTAAAGATTTTAAAGATTTATCAATAGTGGTTTTGGCCCCAACCCTCAGCTTCCAGTGGGGCAGGGACCATAAAATTAACAATATTTGTTCCCCCTCAACCATAGATGCTTCATGAGAAATTGGTCGAAATCGGTATAGCAGTTGCAGAGGAGAAGCTTAGAATTTTCAAATGTTAAAGCACAATGCACACCCGCACGACGATGGACGAAAACAGATAGCAATAGGTTTACTCAGGTGACCTAAAAACCTAAATGTCCCGTTCTATTTTGTCAAAATTTATACTTGAATTTGTCTTTGAATCAAATGATTAAATGATAGTACACTCTTATCCCTTTCTCCTTCGGATGGTTTATATTTTGATATTCTGAAAATTTAAGTATTGAAGATACACAAGAAAGCAAATGTAAAATTGTATGCTAACTTCTTTTATTTCTACTTGCATTTTTTTCTTAAGAGTCGGTCTTGTAAAAATAGTTCAAATTAAATACTCATAAAATTTATTTTATTTGAGGTTTTCCATCAATTATAACATAACAAAATATGTAAAAACCAACTTAGTTTTCAACTTTTAATTGTTGGAGATGGGGGATGGGGTGCAACAGAGTTAAAATTATTTAAGTGATGAACATCCACAATATCTTGGACTTATTATTATACTTGAAATGCCTGTTACATGTATATGTTTAGAATCTGAATGTTACACCATAAGCTGCTGACAACCACATGTATGTCACATGAAATATAGCACTTCTAGTATAGTTACTCAATTCTCA